AAATTATAATTGAATAGTAGAGGCCAAGATGAAGTCCTTTGGCCACATCATGAGAAGACAGGAAAGCTTAGAGAAGACAATGATGCTGGGGAAAATGGAAGGAAAAAGGAAGAGGGGCCGACCAAGGGCAAGATGGATGGATGGTATCCTTGAAGTGACTGGATTGACCTTGAAGGAGCTGGGGGTGGCCACGGCTATTCTGCCATGGTTAGACCACAACTGGAATATTGTGTCCAAATTCTGGGCACCACAATTCAAGAGAGATATTGACAAGCTGGAATGTGTCCAGAGGAGAGTGACTAAAATGATCAAGGGTCTGGAGAACAAGCCCTATGAGGAGCGGCTTAAGGAGCTGGCATGTTTAGCCTGAAGAAGAGAAGGCTGAGAGGAGATATGATAGCCATGTATAAATATGTGAGAGGAAGCCACAGGGAGGAGGGAGCAAGCTTGTTTTCTGCTTCCCTGGAGACTAGGACGCAAAACAATGGCTTCAAACTACAAAAAGGAGATTCCATCTGAACATGAGGAAGAACTTCCTGACTGTGAGAGCCGTTCAGCAGTGGAACTCTCTGCCCCGGAGTGTGGTGGAGGCTCCTTCTTTGGAAGCGTTTAAACAGAGGCTGGATGGCCATCTGTCAGGGGTGCTTTGAATGCAATATTCCTGCTTCTTGGCAGAATGGGGTTGGACTGGATGGCCCATGAGGTCTCTTCTAACTCTCTGTCTGAATCTGGAAGTCCCAGAGCAGTTTGATGTGTTCATTTTCTGTAACTTTTTCCGGCTTGTGATCTCATCAGTTCTTTGTTGCAGGCAGAGGGTATTTGTGGCACAAGTTCCAGGGGATCATCTGAGCAACGGTGTTATGCCTCTGCTTGTAGTCTGTCTGCACAATCTTCTTGCAGCAGCGGAATATGGGATCCATCATTTTGTCTCCTTCCTTGCAGACAAATTATTATTATTATTATTATTATTATTATTATTATTATTATTGTATATTATATATTGTTAGGCATCAAACTGCTGACTGGCTGTAAGCCAACTTGAGTCACCCTCGGGTGCAAGAAAGGCGGGATAGAAATATCATAAATAATAAATATTATTAAATTTTACCCATAGTTGTTTTTTTTTAAGAATTCCCTTTGCAAAATAAGAGTTTAACCGCTGACTTAACGTTAATAATATTAGTCTTTTATGCTAGTTTAGTTACCAATGCAATGTAAGTATTTTGAGTTTTATGTTTAAAATATTAGCCTTTTATACCAGTTTATTTACCACTGCAATTTCTAAAAGTATTTTGAGTTTCATATTTAATGCTTTTAACTCTAGCTCAACCAGTACTTCAATGCTTTGCTTGGAATTATATCTTGTAATCCGCTTTGAGTCCCCTTCGGGGTGAGAAGGGTGGTATATTTGTTGTTGTTCATTCGTTCAGTTGTTTCTGACTTTTCATGACCTCATGGACCAGCCCACGCCAGAGCTCCCTGTTGGCCGTCACCACCCCCAGCTCCTTCAAGGTCAATCCAGTCACTTCAAGGATGCCGTCCCTCCACCTTGCCCTTGGTCGTCCCTTCTTCCTTTTTCCTTCCATTTTCCCCAGCATCATTGTCTTCTCTGACCTCATGGACCATCCCACGCCAGAGCTCCCTGTCAGTCGTCACCACCCCCAGCTCTTTCAAGGTCAATCCAGTCACTTGAAGGATGCCATCCATCCGTCTTGCCCTTGGTCGGCCCCTCTTCCTTTTTCCTTCCATTTTCCCCAGCATCATTGTCTTCTCTAAGCTTTCCTTTCTTCTCATGATGTGGCCAAAATGTCATAAATAAATAAATAAATAAATAAATACATAAACAATGCTTAACTTATTCCATATTGTTTCCTTTATTGGTCATTGACCAGAAATTAGCAAATTTGTTTTCAACTCCGGCTCAAATATAGGATTTGAATGCCTCCCTTGATGTTTTACTGACTCCATACTGTTTCTTTTATTGCTGCTCAAATATATGTATACTTTAACTGGATCTTCTTTTAAATTTTAATAAGCCACTCTGAGCCCCATTAGATGGGGAGAAAGGCAAAGTATAAATTCAATCAATCAATACGTTCAATATGGCAAAACAGGCCCAAGATGGGGATGCAAGAACGAAAGAGTCGCCAAAGGAGACCCATAATGGTCCCCCAAATGGACTGCGGTGTGAGGTCTGCCATCAACCAATTAAAGCCACATGGAAGAGGGTGAGAAGGAAGAAATAAAAGCCCCCACAATGGAATATGCAGAGAAGCCCAGCTCCTCAAAGGCGGACAGGTAGTCAAGCCCCCCCTCAGCCAGGCCCATTCACACATCCCTGGCAACATGCGCCGGCTGTAATAAGGGCCACAAAACCCCTGTGGGAACCCAGCTCTGGCCTGAGTCCCACGGCTGAATCACTGCAGAACAGGAAACGGCAATATACAGATTTGGAAAAAAATGGGGCCTGTCCTCTCTGATAAATTTAGTGGAAGGAAAGGAAAAGGGGGAAGGCAGTTGGCTCAAAACTCCACCTACTCTGCAACCTTATTTTACCACCATTGTTTATTTGAACTAGAACTGGGGCAAGGAGAGAATCTGGAGCCTCTGGAGCAGGTATGGGCCAACTTCGGCCCTCCACTGTACTAAAATGATTGGATACATGTTATAGAATCATAGAATCAAAGAGTTGGAAGAGACCTCATGGGCCATCCAGTCCAACCACATTCTGCCAAGAAGCAGGAATATTGCATTCAAATCACCCCTGACAGATGGCCATCCAGCCTCTGTTTAAAAGCTTCCAAAGAAGGAGCCTCCACCACACTCCGGGGCAGAGAGTTCCACTGCTGAATGTACTGCTGATCAGTACATTACAATATGAATGGGTTCCTGAATTAGTAAGCTCAATAAATTTCCCAGTTATACAGAAAAAAGCAAATAATAGAATGCTAAGATAACACACCAAATAGCCCTTTTCGTTCATAAAGCAACGCAGCTGAGAAATGCGTATCTGGAAGAGATTGGGGTAAACTGTAGGGGTGATGCAGATATCTGAAGTGGCTTGGGATTGTGCAATAGCTGGTCCATTTTAACATTTGTTTTTAATTTTTGTGGTTTGAAATTTTACCTTGGCATTTTGATAATGATATTTTTAATTATCTTTTAACTTAATCAAGTTTGAATGTATTTTAGTTCACTATTATGAGAGTCTTAGGATAGTGATTATTATTTGTGTATGTTTCTGTTTTTGTTTTTAATGTTGATATGGTCAGTGGACGAATCAATAAACTTTGCTTTGCTTTAGCAAATAATAGAATTCAGGGTTTCAGAGTGACTGTACAAAAACTCATATAATATTGTGATTACTGTGAAATGGAACAGTATAACAAGTTTATACAATTATACACTGAATTCTATTATTTGCTATTTTCTGTATAAGTGGGATATTTGTTGAGCTTATTAAGTATTAATAAATAATAATAATAATACTTTATTTGTACCCCGCTACCATCTCCCCAAGGGACTCGGTGTGGCTTACATGAGGCCAAGCCCACAATACATCAATAAACAAAACATCAATAAAACAATCAATACAATACAATTCATATAAATCACATAAACAAAAATAGGCAATAAACAATCAACAGTGACATACAAGCATTTAAAACCAATGGCTGGGCCAAATGTAATAGATTAAAAATGAATAGTTAAAAGTGCATTCTGAGGACATTTTGCTGGGTATTATTTCCTTATTCTGGGAAAGCACACTGGAACAACCACGTTTTCAAGCTCCTCCTAAAGACTGCCAGAGTTGGGGCATGCCTGATATCCCTGGGAAGTGAGTTCCAGAGTCAGGGGGGCCACCACTGAGAAGGCCCTTTCCCTCATCCCCACCAATCGTGCCCGCGAAGGAGGTGGGAGCGTGAGCAGGGTCTCTCCAGATGATCAAAGAGATAACAATGTGCTGACACCTATAACCCATTTTTATTTTCTTTTTGGGGGGAGATTTGTTACTTTTTGTAAACAAATTCCACATATATACACATTACTTTCATCCTATACACATGTTGTGATGTTAACTGCCAATAATACTTCATAGTTTCTATTTCCAATGAGGTTTTACTAGTGAACGAGTTGACGAGTTTACCATGGTGTTAGGAATTCTTCTTAACAGCTTTACTTGTTTAAATAATTATAATGTTTGATTCCATTTTAATATTTGTAGGTTTGTAAATCTTATAATAGACTGTGAGTTGCTCCATGAATATCTCATAGAGTCTCAATAGTTTTCTAAGATCTACAGAGACACTCGCTGGAACACCCCAGCAAGCAAGAGTCCAAAAGTGGCAGGCTCAAACCCAGAACCTCAACCCATGGCTGATACCAAATGAGAGACTCCCCCCTGGGCACACAGAAGACTGGGCTACTTGGAAGGCGCTGAACAGACTGTGCTCTGGCACCACAAAATGCAGAGCCAATCTTAAGAAATGGGACCAGAAAGTGGAATCCACGACATGCGAGTGTGGAGAAGAGCAAACCACTGACCACCTGCTGCAATGCACCCTGAGCCCTGCCACATGCACAATGGAGGACCTCCTTGCGGCAATACCAGAGGCACTCCTAGTGGCCAGATACCAGTCAAAGGACATCTAATCAACTACCAAGCTTGCAAACTTTGTGTTTTGTCTGTTTGTTTGTTTTGTTAAAAATGTAATACAAATGTCTGGTTTCTCCTGACACGATAAATAAATAAATAGAGTCTCAATCAATTACGGGTGAGAAGGGCAGAATATAAATATTTTTAAAAATAATAAATAAATAAATAGGGTCCCAGTTGTGGGGGGAAATGGGATACAAATAAAAACAACAACAATTCAGTTTGCCCACATAGATGGAGAAGACTGTACCAGTGAATCATCAATAACTAAGCAACTTCGAGCAGACAGTGACCCCTGGTGGCAGACATTGTAAAAACCAAAAATCTGAAGGTAGTCTCTTACCTTGGCACCATGCTCATCCACTGAATTACTACCTGCCACAAAAAATAGGAGATATATTTTGTAATATTGTGCAACCATGACTTCAAAACTTTTGCAAATATCCATACATACTATGGAAATAAAAGTAATTCTACTAAATTATGGATGTACCAAGATAGCTTTACTCCATATATCCAGGTTTAACTGTTGTGGATTTGATTAAATATTTCCCTGGGAACCTCACAACCTCTGAGGATGCTTGCCATAGATGCAGGCAAAACGTCAGGAGAGATTGCCTCTAGAACACGGCCATATAGCCCGAAAAAACCTACAACTACCCAATCTGTAAGTCCTCTGGCACAACTCTGTGATAATAGAGTTGCACTAGAGGCCTAGAGATTCCTAAAGAGGTGATCCCTCAGGTAAAAAAGATTACTGGATGGCCATCTGTTGGAGGGGCTTTTTGGACTGGAAGTCCCTTGGAGTCTCTTCCAATTCTAGGATTTATTTATTTTTACTTTTATAGGGATCCTGAATCTCTAACCTGTGCAAACGTGAAGGGCTAATCTATATAAATAAAAATATAATGTTTGTTTTGGGATTAACATAACTGAAAAACCACTGGGAGAATTAACACCAAATTTGGACACAAGACACCTGTCAGGCCAATGAGTGACCATCACTCATAAAAACACTGAAAAACACAACAGAAGAGATTTTAAAAGCCAAAAGAAATAAAAAAAATCATTAGAATGCATGCACAAAACCACATATATACACATATACACACATAACGCACATATACACAGACTGGGCCACAGCAACGCGTGGCAGGGGACGGCTAGTTGTAGATAACACTACGTAACAGAATTTTTGTTCCTGGGTTATACATGTCATTTCCTAATTGGTTCAACCATGGAAAAAGTTTATTAAACTGCAAAAACTTTGTTTTTGTGAGACATCCTGCCACACATTTTGCTTTAGATTTTCGATGAATATCTCACAGTCTCAGCCAATTCAACCAAGTTTGCGGCAGCCACAAAAACAAAGTTTCTGGAGCAGAACACCTACTTTCAAAGTAAGGATCTCACACTTAAACAGGAAATACCACTTTCAAATCAGAAATAGACCGGGTTGTGGCACAGCTGGTTGGGAGTCAGCTGCATTAAAATCACTCCTGACCCAAAGGTCATGATTTAGAAGCCAACTGGGTCGAAGTAAGCTCCCGACCATTTGTCTAGCTTGCTATTGACCTTTGCAACCCAAAAGACAGCTGCATCTGTCAAGAAGGGAAATCTAGGTACTGCTTATGCAGGGAGGCTAATTTAACTAATTTACGACGCCATAAAACTCCCCAGCAGCGTGCAAAAGAATGAGGAAGTACTCTATCCGTATCACAAGTGGACAGTAAAGCGACAGCTCCCCTGGTGGCCGGAATTCAAAGCATACCCTCATGAAGCTGGAAAGTGAAATAGCCTGTGTGTGTCTGTCTATATATGTTGAATGTCTAATAGCATTGAATGTTTGCCATATATGTGTGCATTGTGATCCGCCCTGAGTGCCCTGCGGGGTGAAAAGGGCGGAATATAAATACTGTAGAGGCATTCTCTCCTGACGTTTCACCTGCATCTATGGCAAGCTGTTGGAACTAGGAAAATGGGTTTATATATCTGTGGAATGACCAGGGTGGGACAAAGGACTCTTGTCTGCTGGAGCTAGGTGTGAATGTTTCAACTGACCACCTTGATTAGCATTTGACGGCCTGGCAGTGCCTGGGGCAATCTTTTGTTGAGAGGTGATTAGCTGTCCCTGATAGTTTCCTCTCTGTTGTGGTCACAGAGTCTCAGCCAATTCAACCTAGTTTGTGGTAGCCACAAAAATGAAGTTTCTGAAGCAGAACACCTACTTTCAAAGTAAGGACCTCACAATTAAACAGGAAACCAGTAATATAATTTTGTTGCATAGTGTAATGAGAAGGCCTCTGCCATGCCTAGAGGCGGATGAGCCTTATGCTCAACTGAATTTGTATTTACTCTCTGTATGGAAGAAAACTTACCGAAGATGTAGATGATGGCTACCCCGCTGCCAGCTCCCATCAGGCCCGCTATCCTGAGCACCATTTTCTTTGCATAGGCCGTGTTTTCCTTCTGCTTCTGCTTCTCTTTCTGTTCATCGGAGCTCTTCTTGTCTCCACCTTCAGTTGACTAGAGAGAGACAGGAAGGGATGATGAAGGAAACCATCACTTTTCAGAATCGGCTATGGAATTAGCTAGAGAAGGCTCAAGACCTTGCAAAGCTGCAATTTCCGGGATTCCTAGTGTCGAGCACTGAGCAAGTTCAAGTGGTCCCAAAGTGCATTAGTTTGGCAGTGTAATTACATGATACCCTGCTTATTTCTTGCAAATTTAGCAGTGATTATTTAATCCATCTGTTAATGCAGTCTTCCCGTATTCCTGTTGCCTTCTACTTTACTGAGTATGACTGTCTTTTTTGTTAAGTCTGTGTCTTCTCACAATAAGTCCCAGAATGCAACAGCCATGGTTTCGTCATCTTGGCATCTAAGGAGAGCTAGATTTGCTCTTGGAGCCATTTATCTGTCTCTTTATTAGTCCCTTTGCATCTCAGTCAAGTGGGTATTAAATAAATATAAGAATAATACAAAAGTAGTAATACTAGCAGTCTAGGTAAAGGTCTTGGGCTCAAAGCCAACCTTAAAAACTCTGGCATAGACACCGAGAACTTTGAAGCCCTGGCCCTTGAGCGCACCAGCTGGAGGTCAGCTGTGACCAGCAGTGCTGCAGAATTTGAGGAGGCAGAATGGAGGGTGAAAGAGAGGAAGGCGCATCAAGCCAACCACGACCGGGACCGCCTTCCACCTGGAAACCAATGCCCTCACTGCGGAAGAAGATGCAGATCAAGAAGAGGGCTCCACAGCCACCTACAGACTCACAAAAATTCTGAGCCTGGAAGACTATCCTACTCAGCAAACGAGAGATCGCCTAAGTAAGTAAGTAAGTAAAGTAAGGTAAAGGTTTCCCCTTGACATCAAATCTAGTTGTGTCTGACTGGTGCTCATCTCCATTCCTAAGCCGAAGAGCTAGCATTGTCCATAGACACTTCCGAGGTCATGTATCCAGCATGACTGCATGGAGCGGCCTTCCCGCTGGAGCGGTACCTATTGATCTACTCACATTTTGCATGTTTTCGAACTAAAGGTTGGCAGAAGATGGTGCTAACAGCAGGAGCTCACGCCGCTCTCTGGATTTGAACCTGAAACCTTTCAGTTAGCAAGTTCAGCAGCTCAGCGGTTTAACCCACTTTGCCACCGGGAGCTCTTACATTAGCAGTCTACTGCACCTCTGCCACACCTCCTCTAGCACCGCATCTCAAAGGAGATGTAATACTCTAAGCTGGGATGATTCTGACTTTAGTATTTGCTGACATATTTTTACACTTAAGGATTTATCTCGTTCTTTCATAGCAGCCCTTCAAAGTCTTTTAGTATTTCTATTGAAAATGTTGGAAAAAGTCGGGGGCTGATGGGAGTGATAATACAGACCACCATAGAGTGCCATATTGGAAAGCATTGGAACAATGGGAGTGGTAGTACTGCTCATCAAGGGCCTCAGGCTGGAAGAGGTATGTGGATGATGGGAATGGTAGTACAACCTATTATAAGGTCACATATTGGAAAGAGTCTGGGAATGAACCTTTTTCTCCAGGCAGGCTTTTAGAGAAAGACGTTTTTGAAAGCAAGTTAGGGGTACCATGATTTTAGCTATTTAATTGGGTTTTAATTGTTTATTTTCCTTATACTGTCCATGTTGTATTGTGGGCTCGGCCTCATGTAAGCCGCACCGAGTCCCTTGGGGAGATGGTAGCGGGATACAAATAAAGTTTTATCATTATTATTATGTCTAATTCCATGTTAATATTTGCATATTGTTAGGCTTTAATTGTACTGTATTGGTTTTATTGTGAGACTGCCTCCACGTTGTAAGCTGTCTCAAGTCCCCAGAGGGGAGATGACATGGGATACAAATAAAGCTTATTATTGTATTGTCGAAGGCTTTCATGGCTGGAATCACTAGGTTCTTGTGGGTTTTTTGGGCTATAT